CCGGCGGGAGGAAGGGCGCTTCTGCTTCCTATTCTTTCCTCTCGTTTCCTGCTAGAAGGAGACGAGAAAACATTAATTCCAGGGCAGTTTCATTTTCTGAGCGCGGGCCCCCGACGCCCGTCGAAGTGGCGTGGGCAGTTTCCCTCCTGAAGGTGCGCGGGCGTCGGTTTGCTCGTGGGCAGGGTGGCGGGGAGACCTTCCAGAAGATCCCGAGGTCCTGTTTAGGTGTAACGTCCCGGGACTCTAGCTGTGGGAGAGCAATCCCAAGCCTACGGTCAGACAAAACTGCCTGGCCGTCCCAACTCTGCCATCGCCGGCAGTGTGACCAAGTTCCCCCTGGAGGCCTAAGTTTTGTCGCTGGCAAAAGAAGGGTAGTGATATCTGCCTCCCAAGTGCTGGAAACACGAAATGAAATGATGTTTGCGCAGAGCCTGCCTCCAAAGGATCAATTCTTGGAAGTTACTGTTACTGTTGTCACTGATGAAACCGGAAGGCCTTCCAGGTCACCCTGCCAAGTCGCTCCTCTCTGCCTGAGCGAAACACCACATGCATCTCAATAGACTAATGTCACATTTCCCTGGGTGTTTTATGATGAAAATGTCATACAATACATGCATCTACCCAATTTGCTTCCTTTGAAGTCAGAACCTCCTGGGAGCATTTTTCCTCTCCCCTCCCCCATCTTTCTTTTGAGTTAATTCCAGTTTGACAGGCTGTTGCTATAGCATTCCTTCTCTGACGTCAAACAATTTAAAGAAACAGCCCTAGGTAACAAAAACTGCAGAGGAGTTCTTTGTGGATTTTCTGTGCAGGGGAAAAGTTTGAACAATATCATAAGAGAACTGTAACGCCCCCGCAGCCCTCCAATCCTTCTTCTCTAGCTGCGTCCCACAATCATCTGGAATAAATCTATTCCTACCTTAAAGGAGATGACGCCAAGATAAGCTCCCCGTGATTGTGCTGTGGAGAAAATCTAACCGTTTTGAATAAAAGCCAAATCATGACAGAAATGGAAACAGTCGTGGTCCTAGGATGATGAAAGTATGGATAGTTTTTCCTTGAACTTTTCTTTTCCCTAATGTTGGGTGCTTTTTCTCGTTAAAAAGGACAAATGCCAAATCTTCTACTTATCAAAGGCCCAGAAAAGTTGCCTGGGACCTCCACAGTCTTCATTTGCAACGGTTTACGCCTTTTAATGATCAAGTCCTAGGCCTGATTATTGTTTTTTGAAGGAAGCAAGAGGAAGTTCTTAGGTAAGGAATATCTGTTTGTCCAAGGCTCTCTTCGTTGTTATACTGTTCTACATCTCAAAATGACTTATATGAATTTTACCCCCATTGTACAGAAAGCAAACTGAAGCTCGGGAAGATTAAGTAATTTACCTGGAGTCACACAGGAAGTGGCAGAGATCTGAGATGGCCATCTCCAAAGCCTATTTTTCTATCTTTTGATTTTCTTCTGTCCTGTTCTTGTGTGCAGGACTATGAAGAGTGGTTGACTTGATGTTATGTGTTGAAAGAAGAAGTGGCTGGTACTCTATTTAGGAGAACTCAGGGAGAAATTCTAAGGTACTCTACTGAAGGAAAGATTAAGGGGACTATAAACCAACAGCTTTGAAATAAAGACTGCAAAATTAAAAAAAAATCAAACATGAATTTTACTGATATTTGACGATTTGTGACTAAATGGTCATTTTGGCCATTTAGAAAAATTTGATATGGCCAGAGAAATTACTAGAAGAATAAAGTCCGAGTGCAAAAGAGAGAAAGTGTAATTATCCAAACTGATCCATTTCTCAGAGTATCATATTTCAGTTTTGCTACGTCTCCTGATTTCTTTTTTTAAAGAACAGTTACTTGTTAAAGACAAGCCTATACTGCACATTTCAAAGTGGAGCTGATGAAAAGGATTTCAATACCAGGAACAATTCCCTAAAAGCACAGAAATGCCTATAAGTGATCTAGCAACTCATCATTTTCACAATGATAATGAAATCAACGTATGAAGAGACAGAGAGAGGCATACTATTAACAGTTTGATGCCGCTAATTGTGAAGACAATTACAGTGAGGAATCCTGCTTCTAAAGATCAAGCCCAGTGATCTTCTGGTTTGGGGGTCACTAGGATGTATTCAGATTTCTGACTCACTAGGCCCATGTTCACACAACCTGTTTGGTTACCTCAGGGCATACACCTGGGTCCAGTGGACTCATCCCTTACTTTTCTACTGTAAATTTGTACTTTAGCATTATAGAAGCCATCTGTGCATCCCAATACCTTTCCCTGAGGGACACAGGAAACAATCTATGTGTTTACCTACTGGCTATGATGAATGGCAAGAAGTGATCACATGTGCAAAAGTAGCAAAATGGGTTTAGGACCACCTTTATGCACCAGCGGACTTTGCTTATGTTTACCCGAGCATCACACAGGGTCCAGTAGACCCATACCACTCCAGAATATGTTACCAAAAAACAAGTTTCCTTTTGGTTTTCCTGGTAGAAGTAGCCCAATTTAGTACAATGGCACAAGAAAAAACAGATTTGCAAGTTTTGGAGGTGGTCAAAGTGAATCATCAGATTTCTCATGCATGGATGATGAAGATGATCCATTATCGTAAAACACATGCTTTCCTAACAGAAGAGTAGTGTGCATGGATGATGATGGTGGTGATGATGATGATGATGATGATGATGACCATGACTTTGACATTGGCCATGTGAACCAAAGTTCCCGTGACAGTGAAATGGAGTAAGAATACGCTGATACAGACACAGGGAATGCAGACCTTCTTGATTCTGATGACAAAGAAAACAAAAATGTGAGCACATACTTGACTAGTTGAAATGTTAGAACTAGGTCTGAAAATACAGTGAGGGTCTTGGGAGTGGTGATACGTATTGGACAGAAGGCCAGCATTGCCATTCAGTGTTGGAAATTATATCAGAGGAAATGCTACATGATGTGAAATACACAAAGGCTGAACTGCAAGTAAAATGTTTGGTATGCACAAGTAGCCATATTCAAAAATATATTTACCAGGACAGCTCCCTGGCTGAACTGAAAGCATTCAGAGGTCAGCTGTACTTAGCACAGATTTCTCATGGTGATTGCAGGAATGTAAAAGACTCATCAAAAAGCAATGTGTCAAAATATGGCATAAAAATGTATGCCCTTGTAGATGCAAAGACTTATGATGCTTTCAATTTAGACATTTATCGTGGAACTCAGCCATCATCAGGTCCTTATTCATACAGTAATCAACCAAATGATGTGAACAGACCTGTAGTTCCTATCTTCCAAACTAATTGGAATGTGACACTGGACAATTGGATTACTGGTTTCTGACTGATGTTCCATTTGCTAACAGAGCACAAGTTGAGCAGCAGAGTAACTTACACAGGAACAAAGCAGAAAATTCAAATGAAGTGTTGCAATTTACAGTTGGAGAATTATATCTTACAATCTTTGACATCAGAAAGACGTAACATTGGCCTCATAAATGGCAAAGAAAAGCAAACTGCTTTTTTCAAAGAAAAGCATACCGCTGATGTCCACATTTTACCATGATGGAAATATTGATAGAGAAACCTCAACAAAACAGAAGCCTGAGATGGAAATTTTCAATAACAAAACTGAACGTGGGGTAGATGTCATTGATGAGTTATGCAGCAAATATGATGTCACGTGAAACACAAAACATTGGGCAATGGCTGTGTTTTATTTGATCCTAAACACGTGTGGCTTAAATAGCTTGAGAGTTTACAAAGGAAATAGCAAGTACCAAATACCACAGAGAAATTTTCTTAGAGGATCAGGACTGGAGCTCATAAGATCATTTACAGCAGAGGAAAAGCAAAATGATTCTGCCCAAGGAACTATGCCAAAAGATTGTGGAGCACACTGGTGAGCGGCCAGGTGAATAGGCAGGTGCGGCATCACAAAGACCTACTGCAACAACAGGAAAACAAGGAAGATGTCAAGAGTGCCCTA